AATCACCAACAGCCAATTTCTTTAAAATTCTCATTCACAAGTAAGTCTATAAACAATCTCACATCAATTTCCTCCCAAAAGAAATAAAAACATACGCATGTATCCCTGCGGAAAGAAGAATTAGTATTCTGGTTCTATTTACCTCCCATTTCAAGTAAGGTCGAACAGAGTCACTTATTTTTCTTGCGACAGAACTTTACATATATATATATATCCATGTACACAATTAGCATGAATCTCCCTTTAATTCGCTGTGCAGAGTTCAAAGATGTGTGTGATGGCCGCCAGAAAGTAAAAAGACAGCCCGATGATGATCACGGCAAAGGACCAGGACGGGTATACGTCCATCTGCAGCTGATCCTTCAGAATCTGCAGACTGTTGACCAGGAATACGATGCTGCCGATCAGGCCAGACACCACTGCAGAGCACAGGGGAAAAAAAGAAACCCCAAAAGTTACCAATGATTATAAACATAACAGATAAATACAGTCCACTTCAGATGAGTTGATGTCGTCGGGGGAGTGAAAAAAAATCAACTCACCCAAGTTCAACTTAACTGTTGGGTCTGTAAGGAAGTTAAAGAGCTGGGACCCAAGAAAAAAGATCAACTTAACAGAAGATCAACTCAAGTGAGTTCAACACAAGCGGAGTCAACCGTATAACAGATAAATAGTACAGACAAACCTGCTGTAACGGCCACCTAAACACAATCATTTGTACAAATGTACAAACCACCACTTCCCACTTGCATTTTTTTTCTATAATTTCATAACGATACTGTCCAAGATGTCCAATTATCTAAGACAAGTGGTTTTTTCCTTCAACAATGGGTGGTCGTCTTGGACAATTTCAACTGTATAGCAACGCTGTCACAAAACTAAAATTAGCGACACCAATGACCTGTGTGTTCTCCTTGTTAATCTCTGTCAAGGGGAGTTACACATTTTCTTGCAGCAATGAGAATAATATTACAATGATTAATAGGCTTGGGTGAAAAAGCAATACTTATTGGTGACAGGCCTTACACTCTACAACTGACTGCTTGCACGAACTTATGAGGGACTGCCTTCACAGAAAAGCCCTCCACCTAAACAGTTGTTTTTGTTTTAGTAGAGGTTTTGTGGCGCTCGCATCTGCATAAGGTTATATGAGCGCCAGAAGATTAGAGGTGTAACAAGAGAGTAACAAATATAAAAAGGAAGGAGGGGAGAAAAGGACGATAGATGTTTGATAGGAAAGAAGAAGCAAACCACACCAGAGCACCCGCCAACCACCCATTTCACCTAAACAGAAAAATTAAACCTGACAACAACCCAAAAACAAACCGTCAACTCCCCCCGGCCAAGAAGAATATAAAACTATGTAGAAGAACATAGATATAATGGCCATCTAAGTAAAAAGCAAGACTGATAGACAGAAACAACATATGCAGAGTAAAGAAGTATGACCATCAACAAACAAAAAACAAGGACAAACAAACAAAACAAAAGAAATTATGTACTTCATCCGAGCCAAACTCAAAAGCCAGCAAGAATTATAAAGTTCCTAATGAGATAAACAAGATTTTTCCCCTCTCGGGCACTGGTTCAATTTGATCAAAGAAATATTGGCGAGATGACTTTTCAATGACAGGGCGGCATTTAATTTCAAATGTAACATACCGCTACCCTAGAATTACACATTTCTATCTGCTCAGTGCATTAGTTTTGAGAAATTTGACATTCAAAATTTTGAGTTTCACATCATGTTAAGCTTTTTCGAAAGCAATTCTTTGAACATCTTGATAATGGCTCTGAATAATCTTACAGCTTTGACAGAGCAGATAGAGCATGTAGTTTCTGACCTCATGGTCATAGTACTCAAAGCGGCCAAAAATTAAAATGTCAGATAGAATTTTGTTATTCTAAGGTAGCAATACGTTGAAGATTACCAGAACGGTAACTTACCAGCAAGAAAATTTAGGACTGCCGTGACCAGACTTGCCATGTGAATGCCGGAAGCCATGTATGCCAGGTAAATCGACACGAGCATGCCAAATACGCCAGCTATAAGACTCACCACCACAAGACCCCGACAAGCATAAACCCAGTCTGTGGGAAAGGGAGAAAAGCAGGCATGTTTATAGCATTCTTTAATTTTTGTGAGTGTGTGTGTGTTTTTTTTTCTCTCTTCAGTTTTCAGGAAAGTCTAGGATCAACAATTCTGGTCAAATGGACAGATAAAAGAACAAATGAAAGGGTCCTGAAAGAAATTGATGCACAGCATTGTCAGCTTTGTAAGTGAAGCAAAAGGAGACTCAAATGCCCTGGCCTTGCAAACAGAAACATAAAAACAGACCTTCTGTCAAATGTACTGCAGGACAAAATAGATAACAATAAAAATAATAGATAGCCAGTAGCGGCTCATGGTTTATAGAACTGACCAGCC